ACCACCGCCACAGGTCTCAAGTTCAATGTACCTCTATATTATTAGGTATAATATGCAAGTGTGGTATAGGTGTATAATGTACAATATAATCGCGGTAATATAACAAGAGAGAACTGCGGTATACGCTTGTATATTGTACGAGAAACAAAATCCTGTAGCCTACACAATGTGTAGGTATTATGAGATATTATAGTTACCCAGGTATAATACATCCACGGGCAGGTATATACGATGACGATCCAATGCAGCTGGAATAATCTGTTTTTAAAGCCTGCACATTATGATATAGTTCGCGTTGAATGAAAATCTAAATTATAGCTTGCAGTATACGGTACGAACAGAATAGAGAAAAAAAACCACGCCATTGTGTTCCCCTCTCGGCACATGAACGAAAAAAAAAGAAAATATATATAACAGTTTGTCGAATGTTATACGAGAGCGCCAATGGCGAAGGTGACAAATTCCGTACAGTTCATTATACTCCCGCCCAAATGTACAATAATAATGAATGGTCCGATGGTCGGAAAAAATGAAAAACATATATCGGCATAACATAATACTATGTGATGTAATTGTTTGACAGGTTCATATATTGTAAGAATATCTCACACACCGCGCGCGAAGAAAACAAAATATGCAAAACCCATTATAATGTATACAAACAACGCCGATATAATATAATAGGCGTATTATAATAGTTTTTGCGATTTCTCGAAATTGTTTCTGTACGTCCGAGATTTGTGTGAGATTATAATGTATTGCCATCATGTCTATCGTTTATTTTCACGATTATCGACTGTTATAGTATGTTAAGAAGCTGTAATGGGAAATCGCTATTGTATTTGCAGTCAAACTAATCTCTAAACTTAGGTAGGTACTCTCATTATAAATATTTGAATTCGTTTGAGTTTACTGTACATTAATAAAACCTCTATTTCGCTTATACTATTATACCACGTATACACGTATACCTATATTATATATAGTCTAAAATATCGTTTACCTTAATAGTGTTTATTCACACCTACGTCCTACAGTCTAATAGCACATACATTATATTTCAACACTTCTCTACTCATTAATTAATGTTGTACAAATTACTCAAATAAAACGTTGTAATTATTTCAATAATAAGCACTTTAACTAAATAATTGGTTTATATGATTGAATTTTGTTTTTGTTTTTATTTGCCAATACATAAAATAATCCTATTGCTATTTTACATTGAGCATGCGTTCACTTCTAACCGCTTTCTAAACTCGTTTTTTGCAAATTATTTAAACATAATTCGAGGTGTCTATACAATATAAAGCACCTATATACTCGTATTATGACATTAATTACTTTAATTTTTCGTAGAGTCTTTTATTTTATTGTTCTCTTGGTATTTATACTACATAACTGCAAAATATCAGTACAATTTATGATATCAGATGTATGTATATAATTATATATACTTGCTTTATTTTTGTATTACCTCATGGCTTATTGGTTCATTTAGTTCATACTCAAACTCAACTAATAATTAGATATAGGGGGGACGGAGTGGTCAAGCTGGTTAAGGCGTCGGTTGCGACGCACACCGACGCCGGTTCGATACCTCGATACATCCCCACCCGGGCATGGCAGATATACCTACCGCGGGTGGTGCCCAAATCAAAAATTCTGTCAAAAACAAACACACACGTGTCCCCCCTACCAACAAAAAATCTATAAACAAAAAACAAAAAATAGCTAATGGTCTAAGCTGCCGGGCTCAAGCTCAATAAAAAAAAAAAAGATATAAAAATAAACTATATGAATTATAGAACGGTGAATTTGAAAAGTTTGATGTCGAGAGAAGAATAGAATCAGAGATGGACGAGAACAAATGTTACAGATGAAAGTCTGCAGGGAAAGGTCTGTTAACTAGTGCGAAGAGACAATTTTTTTTTTAAATTCAATAGTTTGTTGATGAGTTGGAAAAAGCAAGGTGCGGCAATTTGAAAATTAACCGGTGAATTGAGGATTTTATGATAAGACTGAGTGACAACATTGAAACATTGCAGAAGAATCTGAGTATATAGCCACTAGCCAGTACAGTGTAGGTGTTCTCAGGAATTTTCAATTGTGGGGGGTGGGTTAACCACCATGACCCCCCCCCCCGTAAGTACTCCTATGAGCCAGTAGGGATAATATATCGTGGAAAGAAATTAGTATTGCAAATATGAAATAAGTAATCGTAAGTATACTGAAATTATGTGGCTATCCGAAAAAAGAAATTCATAGGACCCATAGGTATATTGGTGTAATAACTCAAAAATACAAGTCATTTTTTTATGGTAAAAGTTAAATTTTTAAATTGTTGACAATGTATTTGTGAGGTATTTACCATTTTTGTATTATATGCATTTTAATTTTTAACATTGTGTGAAATATCGTTTTTCGTTTTTCTAGTCATTACATTAATAATGTACTGGTTCAGTGATTTATCCATCGTTAACTTACTTACAGACCGAAATCGTTTTAGTCTTTAGAGCTAGTATATTGAAGTATAGCGAAATGTATTGGCGATACGATAACAGGATATAATATTTTCACATACGGTTCGTACACTTTTGATCACGCCTCGTCGGATATAATCCCACGCGAATACTGACCATCCGATAACTACCTATCTAAATAATTAGACATAATTATTATAACAAGACGTAACATTATGTATGCAAGTTAGGCAACGAGAAAAACATATCTAAACAAACAAATTATAGAAACTACAACGACGGCGTTAACAATTATTCGATAACCCTATATATTATATATAGACATCAATCGTCTGCACAAGACACGTCTCTATTATAGGGACTGACTCAGTCGTATTTGGTCGTGCGATGCCGCGGGGTTGTTGAAATGGAAATGCAACAGTTATAATTGATCGCGATTCATAATATGATGTTCGTCCCAAAACAGTTATATTGTTATATTATATTATACGATACATCCAATCTCACAGTAATTGGCCGATACGCATTGTGTGCATTGTACCCGCTAATGGCTGCTATACACGTGGAAGATGCCTCGGGACGTGTGTGTGTGTGTATATATATATATAATAAAAATAATTTTTGTCATAATAGAATTGATTACATTTTTTTTTCTTTCATTTTGCATCATTGTCCATTGACACAATACTATAGAGTCTACCGGACGACATTGGGTTGATTGAACTTTGGTATATGTGGCAAGGTTTCCGATGCATGGTTACGTTTATTACTACTGCTGCTAAGTTAAATAAGATCGACGAGCCCCGCACTCTTTTTTTTTTAATACTAATCAAAATTGTGACAAAATATAAATTATTGTGGATCTTGGAAAGTTAAAAATAACGTTCAACATTTTAAGAATTATTTTATTTTATCGAAGCTCATTTTTCTGGTCAGTTATTTAAGCAGCGATTATAATGACACTCACTTGAAGTAATAATTACTCACTTTTTTTGATAATGTATTTTTAATTAATACAAATTAACTTAAAATTCAGTATAAACTATAAACCATACCATACTTTACACATAGTGTAGCAGGAAGACATGGCAGATGAAATAACATTTGTTCTAATCATAATTAATTAAGAACGTAATAACTTTACTCTAAATATTATTTTTGAAAATTTCCTGACATTAATATATTTCTTAAATTATTTATTAACTATATAATTTTCACAATTTTTGTCATACGTTGAAAAACCATCAATTTTTTTTTTTTTTTAAATAAATTGGTATACCTAATAATTTTTTTGTATATATAACTTAAATACAAACTTAATAAAGAAGCACTTCTTCTTATTAACAAATTAAATATAAAGTATTTTGATAAAATCCATCATTAGAACTACATCAATTAAAGTTGATATGTTTTTACCTTAAATATTTCGTTTTCAAACTTTCTAAATTCAAAGATTGTAAGTTTTTTTTAATTCTTAACAAAAAAAAACATTACCAGTCATTAAAAAAAAATTAAAAATAATAAAAATAATAATATGCAAAATCAAACTGGAACTATATCTGTAGAAATATATTATGAAACATAATATTATCTGGTTTTATATTTTTAAATTAACCAAACTTGTTTCTCTTTGCCTTTTTTGTGATTGTAAAATTAAAGATGCAAGTATGCCCATCTGAGTTAATTAAAATACAACTTTTACAATTAAATATTATAATAGCCCATTATTAATAATAAAAAAATATGTTATAATAGATACTTTATAATGTATTAAGTATTTACGCTATAACAATATAAACTATACTCAAAAAAAAACCATAATGAGTAAATTAGTATAAGCTTATGAGTTCAGTAAATAAAATAATGTAATTATTATAATGATAAATAATAAATAGTGATATTATATTAAAATAGTTTTTGTTCAACTATTAAAATATAAACAAAGCCTAAAAGTAATATAGTATTAGATTGATATGACTAAAAAAATTGTATAATAATAATAATTTTAATTTTGTCCAGACGTATTCTTCATAATATGGAAACACGAATCACACACATTCTTATAGGAATTAGTCATTAGCCATTACTATTATAAGAATAACAAATCATAAACTAAAAAAAAAGGAATTTGTATTAACAGTTTGAATAATAATAAAGTGAAACTTGTAAGACGATATATAGTATAAACTATAAAGTGCATCGAAAGTGACAGTTGTTTAACTATTGATTAAATATATGGTATATGATGTAACTCAATATAATATTTAAATAGCGTTACCTATCTATGTATATATTAGTTTAACTTCTACTGGCAATAGCTTCCTTAGAATTTTAATCAGTTTTGAGTTTTTGACATATTATAATATATAGGTGCACGCATAACAAAATTACTACTAATAAATCAAAATGTTCTATATCATATATATATTATAATATAATAGTTATAAGCTCATGACGACTTTTTTTATAATATTACAGGCAGTATTTGAAGTGTAATGGGTGCGTGTGTCTTCAGAGATGCACAAATGGCTGCAATTGCCGGCCAATCCGACAGACGATCCGCTGGCCACTGTTTATCCAATCAACCACTACAAGAAGTCTCATGTCTACGCCGTTACTAGGTACATCTTTTAATAACAATATTGTAACAGGGCATAATATACATAGCATTAAGTAAAGTTGAAAGTCGTAGCCATATTTTCAAGTGATTCAACTATATGACAGCAAATTCTTCAAACAAAATATCAGATATACATATTAATATTATCTATACCTCATTGTTCATATATTTTCATAATAAAGTGCCAAAATGCCAATAGGAACCCATCAAGTCAGAATCATGTGATTTAAACATCGGAATATAATAGGTGCTTGAATGTGTGCGTATTTTAATTTTTAAATAAAAATTTAGAAAATAACAAATTATTCTTTCAATATAAATCCAATTACTCATTAAGAAACATAACTAAAGTGAGAATCACTTAACGACAAATAAACCGTATAATATGTTATACGTGCTTTGTTACGTTTTTTATCTTTGGCGATAACTACTAATGATATTGTTAATATTATCTTTACTTAAAAAAAATGTGTATATACCTAGTTACATATTTTTTTTTAATACTGTAGTAATTTCGTCTTCATTTTGTGCTTCCTGCTTCCGATTGGTTACAGTGGTTTATCGGAGAATTAGAGAGCGAAGGTGAATCCCACGTGAATAATTAAGCGGGCAAAAAAAACTGGTTTCTACACATCATTTAAATTAGTGATGACGATGTTCAGTCGGCGTTTGTTGGATGCAGTAATAGTTGAAAAGTGAGATTTCCGTTTGTATTAGCCGGGTTTGCTTACACTTCATTGAGAATTGAAGAAATCAAACCGATTTGTTGATTTTCATTTTCAATCAACAGTATTTTTTTTCCGGATGAACAGATTTTTTTAAGTGTTTTGTTTGAAAAACTTAGCTGGACGGTAGCTGACTTTATAGTAGGTGTATTTACCATGTAAACACACGCCACGCATATACGTTATAACAATATGTAGATAGGTACCTACTAACAAATATGAAATAACTCGTGGGTACAGTGAATAAATCGTTTAAATGTATCGATGTCGTAACGCGCATTGGTAACAAATATATAATAATCGTACAACAATCTTAAAAAATTTTTCATTCACCATTTGGTATTTTGGTGAATTACACGAAAAATCATAGGCCACGGCACCGTGATTCGAACACCGTAGCCGTGAACTCTGAACCGGCCCGTGAATCCGGGTCGGTGTACTCCGTGAACACGCGAGGATAATTGTTACCCATTATATTGTATCGAAAATTATGAGCCCAAAAACCGAGAGGCGCAACTGCATCTGCACGGCATCCGAGTATTAATAAACGGCGGTATATGCGGTATTTCGCCGGTTATGGTCCAGCAGACTCGAGAGAAACCTAATAAGGACGTACTTGGATATTTGAGATAAAAAATAAAATGCGCACACACACATACACATCTCAAGGTCACTCTATATTATATACCTACTGTATATACCGCGGTGGTGTACTGCAGTCGACTAGCGACGTGTTTATTTATATGTATATAGTGTGCAAGCAGTGCTTATAATACAGCCTTATATACATATTACATTATATAAGTAACAATATCGTTTTACCTTCATATCCTCGGCACGAAGACACGGGGCCGATACGAGATTTACGGCCGGCTACGAAAAATTTTCACGAACAAAAATCAGCTCGCGCGAACATGACTTACTTATCCTTCGGTTCTCTTTTGTGACAATTTGTCGGACGATTGATATGCACCGTGATCGGCCCCCATTGTTCGTGCGTTATTCTCCCCGTAGCACAAGAAGACCGAAATCATGTTGCAATTCCTCCAGCTGACCTTATACGGTCTGACGAGAAAGAGAAATGCATATAAATATAAAATATAATTTAAAATATATATATATATATATATATGTATATTATATATAAATAAATGTATATTATATATATATAAATATTTAGTAATAATATTATGTTATATTTTATTCTTTTATTTCCATTTATCGTTTGTGAATCATGGCTATTCACTCTGTCTGTACAATTCTACACCACCATCCACCGAGCAGAACGTAGATACTTATAATCATGAGCAGGAACTAAAACAAATTATTCGTTACAATTTGTTTTTGTAATTACATAATTCAATTGGATATTCAAATTTTAAGACACATAGGTCTTCGTAATATCTAATATAACAAGTAACATAGATTAAATATACTATATTATAGTGTATTTAATCTAAGGTATTATACAATATAATAACATACGTATTACGTATGTACACATTACAAATACTAATAATTATACCTATATTTATTAATAATAATATTACTTACCGATAAGGTAGTTAAGTTTAATTGTTTCAGTTTATAATAACCTACATATTATGTATAAAAGTATTTCAAGGTATAACTCTCCAATTTTTTTCAAAATCATAGGTATTTCAGTGTTTGTTTTTGGTGAACAAACTTAGTTTTCTAGTTATGATTTCTTTCACCATACTTCAGTATAGTATTAAGTACATGTACTTTTCTATTATTATTAAATCCGCAGGCAACAAAAGGCCATTGAGACTAGGTTACAATATTTTCTCATCAAATTAGGTGTTATAAAAATTGCATAACCAATAAAAAAAAAAAAAAGATTTGAAGAAAATTAAATAATTACAACTACATCTTTTAGATTGTATTTTGATGATAGTCCGTTTTTACGGAATTAGTTGATAGTGACTGCAATTTAAGTTGTGTGGAGAAATTCTACCATAGATACTGATGGGAAGGTCGTTGCTCAGTCTATGACATTTTTATCTGGCTGAAATTTAGGAAAGATGATTTTATGATAGATTATGTACATAGTATAATGGAACTTATAACCCAATATCTAATTTGCGTTTCAACATTTAAGATGAACCTACATTAACTATCTGCAATCTCCATAAATGTTGTAACACAAAACTCACTGTTGGAGATATTTACAGGGTTTTCAAATTGTATATGACAAACGTTTTGAAAACTGCATAAAAAATATTAATATGACCATAAAAACAATTATTTATTACTCGTAAGTCAGTGATAGGTTAAATTATTTTGAAATTTTAATTAGGCGAGAATGAGATATTTTGTTTTTTTTTTTCAGAACTAAATATATAGTGTCTATATAGATCAAAGATCGTAAAATTCGGAAACTTGAGAAACTCCGTGGAATTCGTAACATTTAATTATTTTCGACATTTTACTTCTAATTTGTTCGTAAATTCATATGTAATTACATATTATTAAACAAAATGTAGAAATAAGTCATTTTACCTTGAAAAATGTTAACCAATCCGTTGTTGTTTAAACATCCCATGTACACAGTCATAATATTTCCAACTATCTAGGGTATTTTAAGTATAATACGTACCTATATTAACTATTAAGTACGACGATGATTACAGTCCTATAGACCTAAATTAACATTGCGTGATTTTATTTATTGTGTTTGTACTTTGTACATAATATTATAACGTAATAGTACGTGTAAATATAACCTTCCGCGATAAAAACTTAATTTTATTTTCATTCATGATTTGTTCGCGCCACGTTGTGTAAATACAATGTATTAAGAATGGTCGTAATTATCACAGCTATTTACTACTGTTGAACTACCTATATGGCTATATATAGGTTATATCATACTAATTTGGGTAATATGCATTTGATGGCGTATACTTGATATTTTACAATAACAGATTATTAATTTTATTATTATTCTCCAGCCGAAAGAACTTTCCAACTCGTTGATTCGGTTCAAAATTGTATTGCTTTATAGCTTCGAGAACAACAAAATATTTTTAAAACATTATTTTAAGCATTATACGTTTTTTTTTAAATTTTTGATTGAAAATTATTCACTGGTACCGATTGACATCAAAATTCCTCAATTTGTTTTAATTATGTTTATAAATTGGTACCTATCAATAAGAAATAAGAATATAATATTACTCATTCAATTATAATATGGTACCTACCTAAAATGAATTGTATAATTTAATGAACTGCATTGTTTTAGATTTTGAATGGAGTGATAAACGTACTGATAATATACCTAATACTAACAAGTTACAAAGATGTCTCTTTTACTCCGTTAAGAAAAAATGTTAGTCTATAATCTTGGTATATCTAGAACATTTTGAGTGGTTTTAGGTAGACCATTAATTGATCGTTGGTACTTTTGGGGGGGAAAAATTGAAAATTTATAATAATGTTCTTAATTGTATAACCTATGAAAAATCATTGGTAAATCGGAATATTAATGGCAACACCAGTTTCAATAAAATCAATATCGTTTTATGATATTAAAAAAAGAATAATCGTAAAAATTTGACATTTTCACCAAATATATTCATTAAATATATACCTATTAGAGCATTTTTTGGAAATAATAATATAATTTTGCTCTTTTATTAACTATTAATAGATATTTGATATTTTCTAGTGGTTTTTTTTATTTATATTTCTCTGCTGAAAAATGTATTACAATAAGTAGGTTCTTGGTAAGTTCTTCTTACAAATTTAAACAATATAAAAAATACTTACATAGTTTCAATGTTTTTTAAGTGTCTAAAGTTTGAAAAAATTGGATATCATGCAAAGTTTGAACGAAATATATTGATTTTCACTCTTTTAGCTGTTACAGATATTTTGAATTTTTTGTAATTCAAAAAATATTTGTATTAAAATCTTAAACATTTCTTACATTACTTATTTTGTTACTTTTTACCCTTCGAGAAATGTTCATATACATATAATATAACAATATGAACTATCCTTAAAAATAGATGCTGAACCCATTCCTTATTCTTTTAGAATATTTTTTTGTATGTTTATACAATTGTAATAATTAAAATTTAACACAATATACATTAGACTATTAGAGTGACCTTCCCAATGAAAAGTTACACAAACCTACTATAAAGCAGGAGCAAATTCGCCGGTTTTTCTAGATTTGTTTCTCAATCAATCGTCAATGAAATATAATATATAGGTACCACAATTAGTATTATAATACATATTATTGAATACAGATTATTATTGATCTAGTTCAAGATCTCTCGATCCTGTTTTATTTTTTGATTACTAATTAGTAAATCTCACTCGTGCTTGCAATTTACATTTGACATCACATCTCACCAAAATAATGGTTTTTCAAATAATCATCTGCTCAAAATAACGTTTTATTATTTACTCACATATTTGACTTTTGACCTGATACCTAACATCGTTTTAAAAGTTTGATGTTTGAATATAATTAGATAATAACTGTATAATATAGATGTATAATATAACTATAGTGTCTTGTTACAATGAGTAACTCAACTAAATTATACACTTAAAGAACAACTTAAATTATTTTTTTGAACTAGGTATATTATTAGTATAGGGAAAACGTGTAACTATCATTTGTTAAAGGTAACAAAAGTAAAAATTATTAGTGCAGAATAATAGACATAAAGTTATTAACAAGTACTTTCCGTTCGGAGTTCATAAACCTAAATATAATATTATATAGTAATACAATCCAGGTATTATTCATTTTATTATATCCATATTACATTATAGGTACTGTATAGTTTATACAATTTAATTCATAATTATAATTTATAAATATAATATATTCTAAGCAAAATAATGGTACTTATCTTCTAAAAAAGAACGTATAATATGGATTAATATTATAAGTTATAACTAAATATTAGTGTCTTGATAATTTCTTAAAATTTATCTGGAATATCACAACTATTATGGGATTTATTAGACTGAGTACTAAACTACTAACTATATAAGCATAGATTCAATATATAATATGATCAAAAAAGATGATACCAGGACCTAGAATTTTGTAGAGTAGCACACACTATGTGCAGTAGGTAACAAATATGAAGTGTGCAGTAGTTAATCAAAAAGTGCGTGCAGTACTTTTAATTCATACGTACACTACTAGGTATATTATTTAAAAATATTTTGGGGAGTGGAATTAGGTGTGCGAATTAGGTTCTTGATTTTTAAGGACTGGATAATACAATAATAATATTTAGATTTTAGTTTGTATATTATACCCATTCAATTTTTTTTAGTTATAACCAAAAGCCTTTCGCTTTGCCCCGTATAATAATAATAATCACAAACCATGAAAATTTGAATTTAATAAGTACAATTTTGATGTAATACAATAAGCTCCAACATAGGTTTATGCCACGATGAAAATAAATTTATAAAAGATTTCACATTTTACCTGATTATCTGATAGCATATTATATTATGCAGTTTTAACTTATTAGTTATTACCTAGTTATTAAACACGATAATCTTGCAAATTGTGTGTATGATATTAAATAATTCTAATTTAGCTGGTTTCTTATTAATAATGATAATTGTTGCAATTATTGGCGAATAACGCAAGTCGTTAATAATTAGTTCTAATCGTCGTCGAGAGCGATTGAAGTGTATAATAAAATATAGTCGGCATATAATAATATTAAGTATGTTATTAATATTGGGTAATAAATAATAATTAAACTAAATTTCAAATTTTTGTCACTAAATTATTTAGGTATAGCCTCAAATTAATATCTGCTATATGAATTGCTACGGAACGAATCCGATTCTATTTCATGTTTACGCTGTTACAGAATAAATCCGATTTATGTGGATGACGAGCACGTACACCACAACAAAAATGAGACGTGGAAGAACAAGAGTGGTAGTTCCGGGTACGACAGCCAACCGCACTCGGACCACTCAAGCTTGGACAAGGGTTCGCCGCCGGCCACGAAGTGTCTGAGGAACGGTACGACGCCCCCGTCGTCGGACGGATCGTCGGGTAGTCCGGTACAAAGAACGTCGGCACCGTGGCTACTGTCGCCCATCAAGGAGGGTGTCATCGACGTGCATCAGTACTGCATACCACGGCCGGTGTGGCCGGGTCACGCCGATGGCGGCGTGCTCAGGTACTCAGCGGACTCGGACCGCATACCACGGGTCAAGTGCTGCAGGCACTGCGCACGATGCCGGTGCCGTAGCAATAGCACCAGCAGCAGCAGCACCAGTAGCACCAACAGCCGTGGTAAGCCTGCTGGTGGTGGTGGTGGAGGCGGTGGTGACAGCTTTTCCGGGTACTCATCCGCGTTTGGCGGTGGCACCGTCAGCACCGGCAGCACGAGCACCACCTCCAGTGGGGGTGGTGACGCGGGATTGTGTTCAGACGATGTAAACCCGTCGCCAACCGGCAACGGTTCGGTCAATTCCCATCAGTCACCATTGGCGTTGGACCCGCGTTTCGGTGACGGCGTTGGCGTCAACAAAGCTCTGGTGGACAACTGGAATTCCGTCGACCTGAGGCTCAACCAAAAGACTGATAATCTACACTACGTGAGTACATGATAATCTCATTATTATTTATTTCTTTAATTTTAATTTTTCACCCCAGCCTCGAGTGTAACCCCCCCACACACACCCCCCAGTTTGATCATCACTGCTATAAAGTTTACTTGACCACTCCCAGCAGGAAATACAAAAATTGTTGGAACTTATGTATATTTTTAACAGAGTAAGAACGGTGGTACAATTATATATTTTTATATTATACATTTTCGTTCAGACTTCGTTTCAAACGTAATATACTTACCTATAGCCATTATAGAAGTTTATCATTTCACCCGGGAATCGGCGGTCGGCGAGTGTCGCATAATTGTGTGTGTATACAGACTGCCGAGAAGTCATTTGATAAGTACATAATAATTATGATTATATATAGTTATAACTTATAACTTTATAAGTCATATATATAACATATGTATACACGGTCCATAGATATTTCGATGTTTTGCAATCAAAGCTGGTAGGCGTAGGAAGCAACTACTTGCAGTTAGTTCTCATATATTTAACTGGCAAGGTGTACCCGATGGAAAGGTACCCCCCTTTCCTCCACCAAGAGTCACCTCGCACCATCAGGTGGACAATATTTCCACCCCCATGGGAGTTTTGGGGCTGATTCCCCATCCTACTCACGAAATAGCGTAGAGTTATGCGACCATGCAGGCAAACTGCAGAGTACGATAAAAGGTACACAGACGACGTAGCTGTGAACTTTCGACTTCATACTATCGACCATGTTATCACTTATCTTCACGCGACATGCACCGACTAGACATGATAACTGTGATAAATTATACATTTTAAATGGCTATATCTTCGAAACGAAGTCCTAGTGACAATTTCTAATTGCCCCATCGTTTTTAACTCGATGAAATACATGAGTTCCAAAAACATTTTTTTTAATTCCCCGAGGGATGTGGTAAGTAAACTTGTTCCGTATATTGTGCATATCAAATAAAACCTTGGCATTAAATATCCTTGTGACATATAAATATTCAGTATTAAATTGGACATATACCTAATAATATGTATTGTTATTTTGGTAGTATATATTATTTATTCATAATTTATACTTATGTAGACCTCATATTCTCGTATACTACATACCTATAAAGGGTTATTAAATTATTGAGGTTGGCAATGAAATAATCGAGCCGTGTGCAAATTTAACGGGGTGAAAGAAAAATTCATTATAGGGCAATAGGCAGTAGCGCAATATAAAAAAATATACAAATTATATGGAAAATATTAAAATATACTAAAAGCATGTTAACAGAAAATAAAAATCTTTGCTACGGGTTGAATATTTTTAATCATATTTTTCATATTGCTTGTTAACGTCTTTGTGAGAGGTCTGAGATCGCTAAACGAGAGGACTCTGAACGTCGATTTGCTCAGATATTTAAATATTTGGTGGCTACGCAATCATTATACAATCGAGACTGCAAATAGATAAATACTATCGGTATATCATCGCATATTATATACATACATACTGTATTACTGTGTATATAATTCATTTAATATGTACCCAAACGTGTTGTAACTTGTAACTTGTAATTATACTTATTTGCAGACGTAACCATACGTACTTACTTTATATTTATATACATTAAACGTTAACTGCTGTGTGTTCTCATAATTAGCTACTACGAAGCGTTAATTCATGTTATCGAGTTTTTTGTTCGGATGTGGCGGACATGCGCAACAGCCAGTTAAACCTCCGTGGCCAATCGTTTGAACCTCTCTGATTATTGCAGCAGTTGTCTGTTAAATAGATTATAGGAGGTACTTACTTACCTACTTTGTGGAGTCCTCAATTTTCTCGTATTTACCCATGGGTACATTATATAGGTATTTGATTATATTTTATACATTAGCAATAGACTTAATGATAGTACTGAGTATGGACCACGACAGCGCACTGTCCTTGTAACAAATTGATATTTATTTGTTTCTCTGTATAATAATATCATCATCGTATAATATATTATTATGTGTGTGAACAGACATTTTTTGCATGCGTCCCGTACTGAAAATACGCAACAAATAACAATTAACAATTGAAGTATATTTTATACATAAATTTGTTTCGTTGCAAAATACTATTACAATAATATAAAATGTGTCTCCATTGTGATACACGAGTTAATTTTTATAATTGTTTTTTTTTTTTTTAAATAATTTATTAATTATTATTATTAATTAATTGAATTTAATACACATGCCTACTGCAGTCTGCGAGTCTCATCACGGAATCCGACAGGTGGACGTAACGAGATTCGTGAGAGGGTAGCACACTTGCACGGTGTTGCATAAATATAGATATGAATTTTTTATTAAAGCCGTATGTATTGTAAATACTAATGAGTAATGACATACCCTAACGCATAAACCTATAGTATACATTTCAATATATTATTTTAATGTACAGGTTCATTCTTGTGTACGCCAAACACTCTTAATCTATCTTACGGTAAGTTTCAAGAGAGTAGTTTTGAAAACCTTCATCGTGATACCTAACAATAAATTGTGTTCAAATTATTTTTTTCATAAATACAAAGATCAATAAATCAATGAGAGTTTTGCTCCCAAAATAATTACCCTACACAATTTTGAGAAATTGTGTTTGAGTAACGTTTTTGTTCGATCGTCGAATAATGACACCCTGCACACATATATAACATATTATTATGTGTAATGTGTATACTGTAAATACTTTCTTAGCGTATGGTGTATAACTATTACTTCAGTAATAAACATATAATATACAATATTCACACGACTGTGCTGTAGCGAATTCAGAGGTGTTAAGCATTATTATACATGTAGGTACGGTACAACCATTGAGCTATGATGTAGATTGTAAAATGGAAGTTTACGCCACGAGATTAAATTTTAATTTGAGCTTTCCAATCTAAGCTATTATAGTTTGCCGTCATCCGTTGCCACCAAGGTATATATAATATAATTTCACAATATGAAAAATGAGGGGGTTCAGTTTAATAATATACATAATATATGATTTATAAGTGCATTATAGTTTCATATTGTGGTATATTATAGGTCCGGGTGAACGAATCATATTAGAGCTGAAAGTGAGCACATATAATATTATAAACGAAATAGGAACTCGTAGTTTAAGACCACACACATTATAATATATAATATTGTTTATGGACATACTGTAGTACACATTTACACCTTTTCATATAAATTATAAATCATCTATATAGTTATATAAAAGCCTACTAGGTATACCACTCATCATAATATAGGTTTCACTTGGCTCTTATTGTTGTTGTTGGGGGGGGGAAACCACAATTTACTGCCCCGTTTAAAATGATTGGTTTGCCATATCAATATTTTTTCTGGGGTGGCCACTGCCAAATGAGAAAGACATATATCCTGTAAGCGATAACTGATAACCTGTTGGTTACCGTTATTCGATATAGGTAGTTAAATATAGCTTAAATTTACGAAATTCGGTAAAGCGCGGTTCTTTTATGGACGTGCAGGATGGTAATCGGTAAATGTGGATCTCCGGTATTCCGTCACAAGTCTATAAGTTTCGGATCACTTCGGCGTATCATATTAATATACGTAGGTACCTTTATGGCACCCTATGTGTGGTATGTGGTATTACGGTGTGTAAAGTGCAAACACACGATGTTCTACTGACTTGTAATTATTATTTTTGAATTCATTCGAAATATTCTGAACCACCCGCTCAATGCGATGGCCGCGCGAGAATCCTGGTGCTACTGTCCGCGGGCGGCGCAACCGTCCTTCGATTTTGCCCTTCGCGGACTATAAATATCGCGACGCGCACAATAATAATATTATAAATTATAATATATTATTATTATTACTATACGATAATGCGCGCCATACGTAGTAATGCATTCGTACGCGCACAATAATATTATTATTATTATACCGAGACACGTCGCACTACCACGGTTACCACCATAATATAATATACTCTGTACTGTACATATAATATCACTGTTACCGCTATACATCTACCTACGACAAAGTTGTGCGTACATATGGGATAATCGCCGTATACGATGAGATTTTAATCTACCTCCACGTGACGTGTACACTTATACCTATATCGTGCATGACGTGTGTGAGTGTGTATATTACCATGTGAAACGCTCCGGTCCGCGTGTCACGACCAACCACCGCCGCCGCCGTGGCGAAATATCGATTACCTGTATATAATATTATTATAATATATATGTGCTGCTGACGATTATTATATTGTGTCTATGTATAACCGTTGGCAATGAATCTCCACTGATTGCTGTTGATTTCCAAGCGATTCCCGCGGTGTCCGTGCACACTTATAAACCGTGCCCAAATCGGGTGAAATTTGCGAAAATTCCGTCTGGTCGGCTGTGTCGTACGTTATGCGAATATAATATAATGCGTACCTAATAGTTTTTACATTGAACGGTCGAACCGCATCGGTTCAGGCGTCATTTAACAGGTGGTGGGTGGAGGGGGGATGAGCATTTTTTTCTCGTCTCATAATATTTCAACAGCGGCTTCCCTATAGGGTTATTAGAGAGCTTTCGGACTTACTTGCGCCATAGACATTTACTTTCATGAGCATTTTTTTTTTTTAATGACTGCGATTACAATTAATATGTCCAGTTTAAAAAAAAAAAAAAGACCTAAAATAACGGCACTTTAACCGGATATTGCATGCGTTCATTATAAATTATAATAAATACTAGTGTACTTATAAATTGCAATTAATTCACTTGCATAGTTGTATCTATGACACGGTAACTGCAACATCGAGCTGGTGAGATTTTTTTCGTATAATTTCTTTTTACCGTCGTGCCGCACCGCAACAGACAAGAGACAAAACACGTTAATATTCGATCCGAGCAGTTCGTTATTATTATAAAATATAAATTATTGAAATCACCACCAACAATAAAATACAATTTCAGCAATCTAACGATCGAAATTTCAAC